CCCCAAAACCCCAAAACCCCAAAACCCCAAAACCCCAAAACCCCTTATTTATACAGCAAAATTGAACTAATTTTCTTTATAAAACTCCTTTGCTTTTTTCACAAGACACATCCTCGCATTATATATTGGGCTAAGTCTGGCCAATAAGTTGTTGTAATTTTTTGAAAGGATACAAACTTCATCAAAATCATCTCCTTCACTTAATTCAGGGTCATCTTCCTTATTTTCTTCAGAAATTTCTTCTACTTTCTTTTGATGAAAATGGCTCTTATGTTGACAAATAGAAGTACCTGCAAGAGCGTACATTGTATGATATACGTCAACTCCTTTACGTGGTTTATCCTTAAAACCTCCTTCAGAGCTTTGGCATCAGAATATAGAATATCCTTGTAACGCGAGCTGACTACAAAGCCACTGGCCATCAATATTTGCTTTCCCTTTTGTAGCCATATCAACCATTTCAAAGATAGCACCCATCCAGAAATTGTATCAAGAATCTACTAGTTTGTTGATTCGTCCATTAAATCCTCCTTCCATTTCTAACTGTCTATTTACAGCCCATTCAATTAAACGGTCTAAATTTAACTTGTCTACTTCTCCAAGAAGGATCATTCAGGAAAGACCACAGTAAGTATATCCAGCATGAGCTTCTCCATAAGGATTACACGCAATTCCACCTTCGTATGTTTGTCAACTAGCAATGAGGTCACTCATCCCTTCAGTGAGGTCAGGATCAGGAAGGAATCCGAGGATATCAGCAATTATTAATGCTCAGTATCAGGCACGAAGGTCATACTCCCCATTTTCATGCATGATGTATGCTCCATTTTCACCAACTTTCATTTCTGACGATTTGAGAGTAGACGAAGGCTCTTGCTTTACTTTACAAAATACTTCAGTTAAGAATTCTTTCATTTTCTGTTTATCTATGATCTGATATGCTTCTTCTGTACCAATATTGACGATAGCCATAAGACCTCCATATGTAGATGCGATATGGCTCTGTAAACTAATCTGGCCTCTGAATCCTCCACTTTCATCATTATGAAGATTTTTCAAGAACTTAGTCAACTTCTTTCTCAAGACTGAAGGGAGCTCTTCAATAGGATTCATCGTGATTTCCAGAATATTTGTCAACCAATAAGGAAGCCAAGGAGATCCTGAGTCCACTGATTGATATCCGTAATTCAATGAGAGGATATTATTGAGGGCAAACTGGGCATGAGTCCCTTTGTCAATATTGCACATATCCTTTTCGTTGTACTCCTTCGCACCTAGAGGGGTGTAATCTGCTAATTCGTAGAACTCTGCTATAAGTTCTTGCAAATCTTTTAGTGACTCAGACAGTGATGCCATTTTCAATATTTATTATTATTTCCGGGGTTTTGGGGTTTTGGGGTTTTGGGGTTTTGGGG